ATTACATTTTATGTTTTATCCTTGTCTATCTGCCTTAAATATCTCGTATCTGGGAATTAATTTAAACTCAAAGTAAAAATACTTTTATTTTCTTTGTGTCTCTGGCTGATAGAGACATTTATAAATCTGCATCTCTTCCGCTGCACACACTGTGTTTACCCTGCCTGTCTTTCCTTCTTTCTCATTTTGTATGACGTCATGATGAGGTTGTGTTTACCATCAGCCCTCGATGGGTTTCTCATCTCACCTGCACATTCTCTCCATAAAGAAATAAAAATAAATACAATGTATTTGTAATGTTTGAAGTGTGTGAATAAATAAAATAAAAAAATAAAGTTTTCAAATCTGTCTTTAACCAGCCGACAGGTGAGCACATGAACACAACCCCTCCTGATTCACAGATGAGTTTGTGAAGTGATCCGAGGCGACAAGTCGATTTATAAACAAGTGTTTTTGTGAACATCCTTCCTCTGTGGTTCAACATGGAAACACAAAGAGCGAATTTCAAAATAAAAGACAAACTGAGGATGATGATGATGATGATGATGACTCCTACTTGATCTGTGTTACTCAAACAGCTGAAGTTTCAAATAGTTTTGAATATGTTTTTGCACAGAACCAGGTGTGTGACATCAGCAGCATGATCACCTGTTCCCATGTTCACACCTGAGTGCCGTTTTAAAATGGCAGCAGGTGCCGTGTTGCGTTTACTGTCTGCTGGTGTTTGTGAAGACTTGGCCCAGGTCTCGGTTCAGACCAACAGCACAGAAACAACTCAACACTCAAAACACCAGTTATTAAAACTGAACCTGAACCTTCACCCGTCAGCATCACTCTGAGTGAGTCACTGTCTTCTGACTGCGTCTCAGTACAGATGCGGGCCGGCGTCTGCGGGCCGGCGTCAGAGACCTGAGTCTGCTCCCGGGTCCTCACCTCATGATGAGCGTCTTGTAGACGGAGTCTCGCAGCTGGAAGACGTGGTTGCTGACGGCCAGGTTGTGCTCCAACCTGAAGGGCTCTAGGACCACACCGTCACGAACCGGGAAGGTCAACCGCAGGTCGTCGCTGGGGTTACCTGGCAACAGGAAGTCGACGTGGTCAGACACCTGGACACTCGCTGTGACATCACAAACTACCTGAGAGGACTGTGATGAGTCTACAAGTTAGGTGATTGGTTTTCACACAAAACTCAGATCAGGAGGAAGAGCCACTGATGATAATCAGATTACTGCTGATAACACAGTTATTTGGGGGGTTACAAGTGGATTATATCATTGACGATAATCTGATTATTTCACTCAAAATAATTTAGTTCACTGATAAATAACTATTTAATTAAAGATAAACTGATTGTTTCACTGATGATAATCAGATTATTAAAGTAGTAATAATCTGATTAATCAGGTTTTTTATATGTGATTATTTTGTGATGATCTGAATTCATCTCAATGTTTTTATGAACCTGTAACTCAGAGACAGAATCTGACTGTGACCTGCTGTATTATGGGTAACGTGTGTGTGTGTGTGTGCGCGCGTGTGTGTGTGTGTGTGTGTGTGTGTGTGTGTGTGTACCTGTGGGAGGGGGCGGCGGCAGGCTGGCCATGTTGGGTTTGATGTCAGGCAGGAAGGAAGAGGGCGTTGGCTTGACGTCACTGTTTCCAGGCGACATGTAGGGCGGGGCCATGGAGCTGCTCGGGGTGATGGGAGGGGTCGGATTACCGGGCACCGGAGAGGAAGGGTAACCTGGCAACCCTCGACCAGGCTGAGAGAGAGAGCGACAGAGTGTTTAATTGTTCATTATAACTGGAGGGAAAGACGTAGTTACATTGGTTCATGCGATCAGTGGATCCCTAGACTTGAGCCTGTAAACACTGATAATTGATTGATATCGATTGTTGTGAAATAACTCGATCCAGATCCTGGAGCTCCTGATCCAGAACTCTGATCTTAATGAGCTCCAGATATTGATCAGCTGTGTTCAAGGAGCTGCGATCAGCTGATCAGTTCTCTGCTAAACTAAAGTTCCCTGACGGTCAGACTGATCTTTGAATATAAAAATTCACCTGAAAAGATAAAAGGTCCAATGAGAGATTCGTTGGAGTTGGAGCTTAACGAGTCTATTGTATATTGTACATTATATAAGTTCATTTATTGAGTTTTGTTTTTTAACTAAATGAAAAACAACAAAGAGCTCAGCACAACGTTGGTCTACACAATCAGCATTAATACTAACGACAGTTAGAAAGATATGGAGAAGAAAAACAAATGAATAAATAATAATAATGAAAACATTCAAACACACTTTCACTGGATTCATCAAACTCAAATCAAGCTGCTCCAAAACAGACACAAGAAAATGTCTCAAGAATTTCTCCTCACCCCAGACGGCTGGTTGAAGGAGTTGTAGACGCCGCCGCCTGATGTCAGAGCGTTGAGACCTCCACCGCCCTGACCGTTAAACTGGTCCTGCTGCACAAACAACATGTGCATGTTCAGCTGAATCATAGTTACACACACACACACACACACACACACACACACACACACACACACACACACACACACACACACACACACACGATTTGATTAATTATCATTATTCACCTTGTAGTACTGTGAGTTGGGGGGGCCAGAGGGGGGGTACTGTGGGAGGGGCATTTTATGGCTCTGATAGGAGGGGGAGGAGCCCGAGCGCTGGGGGGCGGGGCCTGGACCACCAGGACCTGCAGAGAAACAGGAAGCAAAAATCCTTAAACATCACATCTGTTTTAATGTTTCACTCTCTGTCAACACCGACACTTTTCTGACTTCATGTTTTACTTTATTTCCCCTGAACACTGAATGCAGCACAGGTCTGGTCTTACCTGGGTGGTACTGCATGTTGGGTCCAGAGTACGGACCCGGCCCGGCGTGACCGCCTCCACCTGAACCCGCCATTGAGCCACCGGCGCCACCAGGGCCCGACATCACGTTGACACTGGAGCCGACGGGGACGCCGTACTGCTGAGACATTCCCGGGAAAGACTGAGGGCGAGCGGAGGACAAGAATTTATTCATTTATCTTTATTTACGTTGAAATAATTCAACTTCACAAAGTGACGGTTACATATAAACTGAAAACATATTCTGCAGCATTAATCTAACTACTGACATGCTTTATGATTAATCAGTCTAAATCACATAAATCAACACTGACTTTATTGATGAGTTATTTTTCTATAATTAATCAAAGTTATTTTAATAACCATGATTGTAATATTCTAATTTACATCAGTGACATGATGTAGAACGACTCTGATGTAATGATCCAGATTTAACTCTGCTGTAACCATGGTAATCAGATTAGATGCAGATTAAACCTGATGTAATCTGATTAGTGTAATCAGATCTCCTGACTCACCTCAGAGTTGTAGGGCCGTTTGAGGCCCTGCGGGGGCCTCAGGTGGCCCTGCTGTGGTCCAGGACCATAGTTGGGGTGCTGGGGGACCCTCTGTGGGCCCCCTCCAGGTCCATACATGGGGCCCATTGAGGGGGGACCCCTGGTGGGGCCTGGACCGGGGCCCATACCTCCAGGAGCCATGCCGGGGGGGCCGCGGGGGCTGGAGTGGGCCATGAACTGGTTGTTGTATGCTGGACCCCCCATCTGGGAAAAACACACACAAACAGCAAAGACTCTCAACACGTTGACCTGGAGCACTCGACACGACCATCAGTGACATCACAGTGACATCACAGTCACTTCCTGGTTGAACCTCAGAGACTCTCAGCTCCTGATTTGAGTGAGTCACTGACGGTATAAACTGAACTGTGTTTATCTTCCATGTTATAATTGAAGTTTGTTGAAAAAAAGCTGAGTCACGTTTCTGAAGTGCAGGTGAAGTGACCGCCCTCACCTGTCCGTAGTTCATCTCCTGGTTTTGTTTCTCCTGGATGGCTGCGACGGTTGCCGTGGCGGTAGCGGTTGCCGTGGCAGCAGCAGCAGCGACGGCTGCGGCGGCAGCCTGAGTGAAGTCAGCGGAACCTCTGGAGCCGCCAGGGTTAGACGGGTAACTGCACACACACGTGACGGCCATGTTTTATTATATTTTGTGTGTGTGTGTGTGTGTGTGTGTGTGTGTGTGTGTGTGTGTGTGTGTGTGTGTGTGTGTGTGTGTGTGTGTGTGTCTTTATTGATTGGAAATTGATCACTTTTGTCTTTGTTTTGTTTTTTCTGTTGCAATAAATTCTGAAGAATATAAAATAAAAGTAAGTCACCACTGGATTTATTCATCTGTGTTATAATAATAATAATAATAATAATAATGATGATAATAATAAAACTTTATCTGCATGGCTCAAAGTGCTTTACAACAGAGACATTACATGAAGCAACTGCTTCACAGGAAAAAGACAGAAATATAAAATGAGATAGAAATAAAACACATTTGATAACAAGATAAATAAATTGAATAATTATAAAACATAAATAAATAAAAACAACTAAAATCAGATATATAGCATAAAATCAAGTAAGAAATTTTCTTTAAGTCAAAAACGTGTAATAAGTTGTAATAATCTTGTAATAACTGTAATAAATGAATGAAATTCTGCATCAGTTTCTTCTGCTCTGTTTTAAATCTTTTTCACCTTATTTGTTTAAGTGTAATTTCCAACTACAGAGAAATTTCTTTTACTTTTGAAAGTGTTATTTAATAAACGTCTTACTTTGTTGTTTCTAAGAAAACTTGATTTCTGCCTCTGTTCAGTAGAAATGTAATAAATCTATAAATCTAATATAAACAAACTCTCTCACCTCCCCGTGTACCCCCCCGGTCCTCCAGCGTAGCCGCCAGGCGTCCGGCCGTACATGCCCTGGTTCATGTAGCCCTTGCTGGGCTCTCCGTAGCCCTGCTGACCCATGTAGCCACCAGGCCCACCGGCCATGCCTGGACCTCCGGGGCCCTGCATCATTGGCCCCCCTCCTGGGTTGGCCCCGGGCCCCATCACCCCTCCACCCAGACCCTGACAGACACAGAAACACACTTCACATCCCAGGTCCTCCACACCACACGCCTTCCTGTGTGACATCATCATCATCTTCGCCATAATTATCAGTGTGGTGATGTCATACCTGGCTGGCCGAGGGATTGGTCACTCCCCACACAGTGGTTACCACGGAGAGGGATCCTGTGGGCTGATTGGTGGGCTGCTGCCAGCTGGAGGGGTCATAGGGGTACGAGCCCTCACTGAGGACACACAGAGGCTCCAGTCATCAT